GGATTTCATAGACTATGTGATGGAATTTGGTGGAATGTTGCTGCTTTCCATCCCTCAGCCAGGATATTCCTAACAAAGGAGGGTACCCCCAAAACAACACACCTGGCCAACTTCCATGCAGTCATCCTAACACTGGATGCCCTAGCCAACAAGTGATACCATTTTCACACTTGTAAACTGGTGGGCATTGCCTAAAAACGGTCTCTTTCAGGTTAAAGAACTATGGGAATCTCTTGCCTCACAGATACTCAAAATACAATATCATACATGTCTTTCTCTATATTAAAGAACAATATAAGGACTTGCCAGGACACTCATTACCTTTGGAATTATAAATATTATTAATAGTAACCAAAGTTCACATTTCACTTCTCAAAATACACAAAGCTGGGCTCTTGGGGGAAAAAACACTCAATAGAACTTTCATGTCCTTAGTAGGTCCCAAATAGCCCGTTTCACTAACAGACATAATGGTCTCCTCAATTCCTTTCCAAATTTCAGCCTAAATAAACTCCTAAATGAGCCTCTATCTTGTCCCACACCTTAACTTACCTTTATAAATTTTTGACCTTGCCTCATAAGGACTAGAGGTCAGATTGAGAGTGCATATTTTCCTAGAACACGTTAACCATAGATTGTCATGTAGGCCAGGCAGTTGCTCATCTGATGTATGACCTATTTGAACCTACACTTCCACCCAAACTCTGAAACTTGTCAAGTGCAGCTGCACACCATTCTGGTGACTGTGGTCTTACTACCACTGGTCTGGATGCTTTTCTTGGTTTATAATCCAGAGGCCCAACCCCCCAAGGAAGCCATTGTTTCAGACAAACATGGCAAATGCTAAGACCCACATCAACTTGAGTGGGTAGCCCCTTAAAAAGGATGCCCCAAGTCCCACATCCTAGGTCACATTGTCATGGCCCAGGAGCTCGCTGCTAGAGATGACGTTGCCTCAGATGATAGCACCCCAACCTAAGATCTCACCATTGGAAATGGCCTATTTCACTCCCAGTGATGGACCTCCACCCAATCAATGCCCACGGACTGCCTCTCCTAAGGCACAAATTGGACACAGGACACTTTTGTGTTTCTTCCTTTGATGTGAGGGATCCTGTTACATTTCCTGAGCTCACTGTCTGCTTAGCCAATGAGCCTGGTGTACTCCTTGATCTCTGCTAAAACTTACACCCCTACACTCCTATGCCTAAAGGGAAATCTGGTTACTACCATCCGTGTCATTCTAAAAAGTAATGGAGGTTATTGCTTTCCCAAGGAGACACTCACCTCATATCAGTCGACTCCTCAACACCTGGGGGAGAGGAGCACTCACTCCCCAGTGCCTTCTGCTACTCCCCACATTTCCACCACAGTCTTCTGCCTTGCGTCTCCAACCATGGCCACCACAACTCCTTCCCTTTAATTACACATAAACACCACTAATTTTTACATATACATATCAGCTCGTACCGTACAACAACATAACTGCCAGATCTGCCACCCTGGCGTGAGCATATTTCTAACACACTTTGCAACAACCTGAACTTGGAAGCAGATTCTTTGAACTTGGAAGCACATGATTTTTTGTTGTTGTTTGGAAGCAGATCTTCCTTAGAGCTTCGGATCAAGAGGGCAGCCTGGCCAACACCTTGATTTTGGCTTTCTGAGACCTTGGGCAGAGAACCTGCCTTGGTTTTTGTGAGCTAGGAAATGGGTATCATTTTAAGCTGCTACGTTTGTGTGAATTTGTTACACAGCAATAGAAAACTAATGCATTGGGAGAGCCACTCCAGATCTGTTATGGTTACTGTTTGCATAGTATATAATTTCTATCATTTCCACCTATTTGTGTCTTGAATCTAAAGTGTATATATGATTTAGACAGCAAACAGTTAGATTCTGATTTTAAATCTAGCCTGATAATCTTTTATTTTTTATTGTAGTGCTTACTTCACTTACATTTAATATAGTTATTGGTTATAATATAAATGTAATTACTTATAACTATTTTCTATGTGTATGTCTCATGTATTTTTTCTCCTCTGTTTCTTCTCTACTGCTTACTTTTGCATTAAATAGATATTTTCTAGTGTGCCATTTTAATTCTCTTTATTTACTCTATTTGTTGAATTATTTTCTTAGTGGTTGCTCTGGGTATTAAAATATACATCTTAAAACAATATACTTCACATTAATGCTAATTTATTTCTGGTTGTACACAGAAACTGCTCCAATATAGCTCCTTTTCCTCTCCCTTCCTTTGCGCTATTATTATCATAGACAGTATATCTTTATATATTCTAAACTTAACAATATTTTAATAATTATTGCTTAATGCGGATGTTTTTTAAATCATTTATGAGAATGAAAGGAAAATATATTCATATCATATTTTATGTTTTCCTATGTAAGTACCTTTACTGGTGTTGGAGTTACAATTTCTATTCGGCCTGATGGACTTCCTTTTATTTCTTATAAGGGAAGTCTGATAGAAATTAGTTCTCTAAGGCTTTTTTTTTCTTCTGGATATTTTTGTGTGTGTGTGTGGGGGGGCTTCATTATTTTAAGGTTTATTTTGGTAGGTATAGATTTTGAAAACAAAATAAGAGTGTTATTGCCCAGCCGGCATGGCTCAGTGGTTGAGCGTCCACCCAGGAACCAAGAGGTCATCGGTTCGATTCCTGGTCAGGGCCTGTGCCTGGTTTCGGGCTCGATCCCCAGTGAGGGGTGTACAGGAGGCAGCTGAGCCATGATGTTTTTCTCTCATCAATGTTTCTCTCTCTCTCCCTCTCCCTTCCTCTCTCCCTCTAAAAATCAATAAAAACATATTTTAAAAATTTAACAAAAAATAAGAGGGTTATTAAGATAGAAATCATTTTACATTATGATTATCCCATCTAAAATGTACAGTTCAGTGCTTTTTAATATATTCAAAGAGTTGTGCAACCATCACTACAATAAATTTTAGAACATTTTATCATCCCAAAAAGAAACCCTGTATCCTTTGTAGTCATTCTCCATCACTTGCTCTCCCCCTGGCCCTGCCAGCTCCAGGCAATTACTAATTTACTTTCTGCCTCTATAGATTTGCCTGCTTTGGACGTTTTATGGAAATGGAATTATGCAATGTGTGATATTTTGTGATGACTTCTTTTACTTAAGATATCATTCTCAAGATATCATTCCCATGTCCCAGCATATATCAGTACTTATTTCTTTTTATTGTGGAATAGTATCCCTTTGTTTGGATATACCACAACTTGTTTATTCATTCCTCAGTTGATGGACATTTGAGTTGTTTCCACTTTTTTACTATTATGAATAAATAATGGTGTTATAAACATTTGTGTGCAACTTTTTATGTGGATGTAAGTTTTCACTTCTCTTGGCTATATATATGAGTAGAATTTCTGGGCCATATGATGACTCTATGTTTAACTTTTTGAGCAACTGACTGACTATTTTCCAAAGAAGCTGGTGGGGATGTAAAATATCCCCACCAGCAGTGTAGAGGTTTCCAGTTTCTCCATATTCTTGCTAGCACTCTTTTTTTATCTGTCTTTTTGATTATAGCAACATTTGTTTTTATAAATGGTACTTCTTGATATTTTGTAATATATTTAGACATTTAAAATTTTCAAACAGATTAAAACCCTGGTGGGTGTGGCTCAGTTGGTTGGAGTGTCCTCCCCTACACCAAAAGGTGGCAGGTTCGATTCTGGTCAGGGCACATACCTAGGTTGTGGGTTCCATCCCCGGTCGGGGCATGCAGAAGGCAACTGATTGATGTTTCCCTCTCTCTCTTTCTCTCTCTCTCTCTCCCCCCCTTCTTCCCTCTAAAATCAATTAAAAAAACAATGGATCCAGCATTACGAAGTCTGTCCCAAGGGTCCAATGAGCAGACCAGCACCCAATATCCCTGGGGTTGAAACACTGGTTTTGTAGAAAAAGTCAATGCTTTAATGATGACCTGATTGATCATCAGCTGCCCTCTTGCTGCTTGGAATAAACGGCTCTAGGTGGTATGTGTTTCCCCTAACAGAGGCCGGCAGCAAACGGGACAAGTAATGTGCCAGCCTGGAGACCTCTGCTTCCTAACTCTATCCCTATCCCCAGACTTTGTCTAGCAGGACCTGGACTCTCTTTTCTAGAGATTTTACTCAGGCTGAGAATTTACATGGACCTAATTCATGAATGTCCAGACTTGTGTTCGAATCAGGAGAAGATCAATGTTTCTCTCTCACATCGATGTTTCTCTCTCCCTCCCTCCCTCTCTCTCTTTCTCTGAAATCAATAAAAACATTAGATACTGTTATACTAATTTTTGCTTTATGAATTCTGAACTTAAAAATACTGATATTAATATATATTTTAATATTAAACAAAAAAGGATCCCAAACTATCATTTTTGTTTTTGATTATTGCAGTAAATAATTTCATTTTCTTATAAAACCTGACATGACAAATTATCTTCAGAGCTTAGAATTGGGTAAAACTCTTTCTCTAATATAAAGAAGTAAATAAATAAGTATTTAGTAAGTATCCTTGATCTGCCCAGCAATCTCAAGGAAGTAGTTAGGTAAATATTCTCAACTGTATAAATGATGAAAGTGACCCAATGCAAAGTGATTTACTCAAAGTCGGAAGCTTAGATGTGGCAAAACTGGCATCAGAACACAGATCTTAGAGAGTCTCCCATTTCAGTCCTTTATAGTACCCCACTGACGTTCCATCACTCTAATCCAGACATTTTCTAACATCCAAAGTAGCTCTTGTAGCTCAGCCGGATGTGGCTCAGCAGTTGAGCGTCGACCTAGGATCCAGGCAATCGGGGTTCGATTCCCGGTCAGGGCACATGCCCGGGTTGCGGGCTCGATCAATGACTCATCATTGATGTTTCTCTCTCTCTCCCTCACCTTTCCTCTCTCTGAAATCAATAAAGATATATTTAAAACAAAACAAAACAAAACAAAAACCACAAAAAAACCCCCACCAAAGTAGCTCTTGTAGAACTAACACTTAAACACGTTGGAGTCCCCATAACAAGATGTGCAACCAATATGCTATTGCAATGATTTGGATAATTTTAAATGTTTCTCGCTCAGGTTTCTTAGGCTATTTTAAGAATTACAAACCCTGGTATTAGAATTTTAGAGTCATTAAAGTTACTTTCTAAAGTAATTTTTGAAACTAACCCAAATTACTAAGAAAATTACTGTCACACAAAGCAACAAACTTTTGAGAGAGGAGTTAAAGAAGTTTAATAGCTCTCATATCTATTTCATTCCCTGAAAAAATGTGTTGAATGTTACCTTCACAAGATGAATCTAACAACTGAAAAAGGGGAACAAATAGAGAGCCACCCCATTCTTGAATCATGGGTTGAGTTTTGGAAGATGGTTTGATCTTGTAGCCTTTTTTGCTGATCCTCTCTTGGCATTTACTATCTGCTGATTAGCTGTATTGTATCTTCCCGTTTTCACTGGATTCTCTTTCATTCTATGGAGTTCATCCATCTGTTGCCTTCTAGAAATTCGTTGTAAGCGAAAGACCTGAGATAGTTTAGCTAGGTATATGTGGCGTTCATCCCTGATCTTTTGGTAAGCATTTGATTCTTCTTCCAGTTTAAGTAAATAGTATTTAACTTGATGTTCAAGACACCTTTTTTCTTTGTGTAGCTTTTCAAGTAATGTAATTAAGGATTTCACTGGCATTCCCTCATAGACACGGATAGTAGATAGTCTATCTGAAGGATGGCTCCCGAGTTTTTCCAATTTCTCTTTCAGAGCAGCTATTTGCTTTTTCAGTTGATTGTTCACTACAAGTTGTAGCTCATAACGAGTTTTCCAGTCACTGCCTTTATTATCAGTAGTGAGTTTGGCTTTCAGTTCCACTATCTTGTGTCTTAGTTCAATTACTGAGAGTTGTGCTAAGTCTTTCTTATGGAGTTCTTCCGATAACTCCAGTTTCAGTTCTTCAGTGGTCATATCTTCAAAGTTGTTGCCTCCTTCATTACCCATAGTGCCCAGTCACAGACCTGTCCACACCCTTCCCTTCAGCACGTCTTAGAGCAGAAGACCTGAAGGGACACTCAAAGCTGGGGAGAAGAAACTGTTGTTGTGAGCTGTTACCACGGTGAACTGAATTCTAGAATTCTTGGTTGAAATCCCCCCAGCCAGCACTTTGTATGTCATAATACTGCCTTCTTGTCTCCTCCCTCCCTCCCTCCTTTCTCTCTCTCTCTCTTTTCCTTTCTTTCTTTCTTTCTTTCTTTCTTTCTTTCTTTCTTTCTTTCTTTCTTTCTTTCTTTCTTTCTTTCTTTCTTTCTTTCTCTTTCTTTCTTTCTTTCTTTCTTTCTTTCTTTCTTTCTTTCTTTCTTTCTTTCTTTCTTTCTTTCTTTCTTTCTTTCTTTCTTTCTTTCTTTC